TGATCGACTGAGATTTTCACACACAACCATCTCTAGAGTGGTCTGAAAAGAGAAAATATCCAGTGAGCGGCAGGTCGGTGGGCAAAAATGCCTTGTTGATGCCAGAGGTGAGAGGTGAATGGCCAGACTGGTTTGAGCTGATAGAAAGGCAACAGTCCCTCAAATAACCACGCGTTACAACAAAGGTATGCAAGAGACAGTGTTGTGCCAGTTCATACATGCTCAAAGTGAACAGTTCACGTTCAAAGTTCACATTTTTAATTCTGAACTAGTTCAAAGTTCAGTTCATTTTACCTTTTTTGAGAGATAAACATATTTTTTTCACACTACGAGCCATATATATATATTATATATATATGTCGGCCTACGACTCAATGCCACACACATGGATCATGGAATGCTTGAAGTTGTACAATATCAACAGGGCTCTAAGGGACTTCGTTGCAAACTCGATGGGAATGTGGAAGACCACCCTTGAGGCAAATGGCAAGCCGCTCGCACAAGTGACCATCAAATGTGGTATCTACCAAGGAGATGCTCTGTCCCCACTACTGTTCTGCATAGGCCTCAACCCTCTAAGCCAAGTAATTGACCAGACTGGCTATGGATACCGCCTCAGGAACGGAGCAAAGATCAGTCACCTCCTCTATATGGATGACATCAAGCTGTACACCAAGAGCGAGAGAGACATCGACTCTCTGATCTAAACAACCAGGATCTACAGCCATGACATCGGGATGTCATTCGGACTCGAGAAATGTAGCAGGATGGTGACTCGGAGAGGCAAGGTAGTCCACACAGAAGGGATCTCACTCCCAGAGGGAACAATAGCAGACGTTGAGGACAGTTACAAGTATCTCGGTATACCACAGGCAAATGGCAACCTCGAACAGGTGACGAGGAAAGCGGCAACTGCCAAATACCTCCAGCGAGTAAGGCAGGTCCTAAGAAGCCGGCTCAATGGCAAGAACAAGGCCCAGCTACGCCCTGCCAGTGATCAGATACCCTGCAGGAATAATCAGGTGGCCAAAGGAAGAGATTCAGACCACGGATGTTAAAACTCGAAAGCTCCTTACCATGCATGGCAGGTTCCATCCCAAATCCAGCACCCTGAGATTGTACGTAAGCCGTAAAGAAGGAGGACGAGGACTAGTGAGTGTGAGAGCCACTGTCCAGGACGAAACATCCAAACTCCATAACTACATCATGGAGAAAGCCAAAACGGATGACGTACTCAGTGAATGTCTCAGGCAGTGGCGAGATGAGGAGGTGCTGGAGGAGAGCCCATCATGGGAGAACAAGCCCCTACACGGCATGTACCACCGGAGCATAACAGAAGTGGCTGATTTCAAGAAGTTCTACCAATGGCTAGAAAGGGCTGGCCTACAGGACAGCACAGAGGCTCATCATGGCTGCACAGGAACAGGCAATGAGCACCAGAGCGATAGAGACCCAGATATACCACACCAGACAAGACCCAAGGTATCGGTTGTGCAAAGAGGCACCTGAGACGATCCAACACATACTGTAACTGCAGGGTGCAAGATGCTGGCAGGGAAGGCCTACATGGAATGCCATAACCAAGTGGCTGGCATAGTGTACAGAAACATCTGTGCAGAGTATGGGCTGGAAACCCCAAGGTCTAAGTGGGAAACTCCTCCAAAGGTGGTGGAGAATGAGCGTGCAAAGATCCTGTGGGACTTCCAGATACAGACCGACCGAATGGTAATGGCGAACCAACCTGACATTGTGGTGGTAGACAAAGGGCAGAGGACAGCCGTGGTGGTGGACGTGGCAATTCCAAGCGATGGTAACATCCGGAAAAAAGAACATGAAAAGCTTGAGAAATACCAAGGTCTCAGAGAGGAGCTGGAGAGGGCCTGGAGGGTAAAGGTGACAGTAGTGCCCGTGGTGATCGGTGCACTCGGGGCAGTGACCCCGAAGCTAGAAGAGTGGTTACAGCGGATCCCTGGAACAACCTCGGACATCTCGGTCCAGAAATGTGCAGTGCTAGGAACAGCAAAGATACTGCGCAGAACCCTCAAGCTCCCAGGCCTCTGGTAGAGGACCCGAGCTTAGAGAGGGATAACCGCCCGCGGAGGGCCAAAGGTGAGTGGACAATTAATTATTTATTTTTATTTTATAGATATATATATATATATCTCCTGTACACTCACAGGAGGAGACTTTTGACTACAAAATAGACAAGATTTATATGGTTTTCAATGGGAGCAAAACGGAGTTGCCCCATCTCTGCTCATAAACTACAAACAGTAATGCGCTGCAGTGCGTGTGTCTATACTTTATGTCAAATGTAAACGGTGTAAACTTTGTCGCTAACTCACCCTGTGTTTTCATCACGACTCGGGCACATGTGAAAAGCACCAGCTCACAGCGCCGCACCGCAACACGGAGTTCACACGGAGTTCAAGTTATTTTTTTAAAATGTGTTGCGTTCAGTTCAACGTTCACAAAAAAGGAGCGTGTTCAATGAACGCGTTCTTTTGAACTCGTTCACGCACAACACTGGCAAGAGAGCCTCTCTGAACACAGAACACGTCAAACCTTGAGGCATATAGGTTACAGCAGCATAAGACCACACCGGGTGCCACTCCTGTCAACTAAAAACAGGAAACTGAGGCAACAATTTACATAGGCTCACCCAAATTGGACAATAGAAGATTGGAAAAAGTTGCCTGGTCTGATGAGTCTCGATATCTGCTGCGACATTTGGATGGTAGGGTCAGAATTTGGAGTCAACAACATGGAAGCATGGATCCATCAACGGTTCAGGCTTGTGGTGGGGGTGTAATGGTGTGGGGGATATCTTCTTGGCACTCTTTGAGTCCCTTATAACCAATTGAGCATTGTTGCAACACCACAGGCCACCTGAGTATTGTTTCTGACATGTCCATCCCTTTATGACCGCAGTGTACCCATCTTCTGATGGCTTCTTCCAGCAGGATAAAACCCCTTTTCATAAAGCTAAAATCATCACAGACTGGTTTCTTGAACATGGCAATACGTTCTCTGCACTGTAATGGCCTCCACAGTCACCAGATCTCAATCCAATAGAGCAACTTAGGGATGAGGGGAACAGGCGATTCACATCATGGATGTGCAGCCGACAAATCTGCAGAAACTGCACGTTGCTATCAAATATGAACAAAACTCTGAGGAATGTGTCCATTACCTTGTTGAATCTATGCTTTGAAGAAGGATTAAGACAGTCTTGAATCCAAAAGGGGTCCAACCCGTTATTAGCAAGGTGTACCTAATAAAGTGGCCGGTGATTGTACATTCTTTATACATATTCAAGGAGGTTTTCAGAATTATCTGTGTGACGTGAGGGTGTGAAAGAAGGGAGATTTAACAGTTCCAGCAACGCCAGGTGGTCTAGGGACCACCCAAATAATTGGTATAATAAGGCCGCACAAGTTGTGGACATAGGAGACGCGAGACTATACTTACAAAACAGTTCACAAGTTTATTTTCACAATTATAAGTTAAATACATCAAATAGGCCTTTAATGGAAAAATTGTTAAAATGTATTTCTTAAAATGGTGGCAACTCAGGACACAAGGACAAAAAGAAACAAATAGCAATGTAAATGAACCAAGTCATGCAAATAAAAGAAAACAAACTGCAAGCCATGCAAATAAAGCAAACAAAAGAAAAAGCCATGCAAAAAGCATGCAAAGGCAAAATAAATCAACACCAAATCAAGATAAACTCACCAAACCACTCAGAATAACCTAAATAAACAAAAAGAAAGATTATTAACAAAGGTCCGGGTGCCACAGGACATGCCCTTTAAACTAGAGCACTCCAGCGCTCGTGCACGCTGTAGCGGTGTGATCCGAGCCAGGAGGCCACACGTGAGCGCGCTCCAGCGTCTCCAGAGACATGCGAGACAGAGGTGGACAGAACAGCGGCTGCCTTTCAGAGTGGTAGCCCTGGTATAGACCACACGTGGAGAGAGCCTGAAGGACAGGCACAAATCTTAACATTGTAATTAATAACTAGACTGTAGTTTTTGGGCTTACCTGCCAGTGAAAGGCACGCACTCACGGCCAGTGGGAGGAGGGGGAGAGCCGGTATGGATACCAGACTTGTCCCAGCTGCAGCTCAGGGTCTGGGGCAAACAGGTTTACGCTCAGCTTTGGCTTTGAGAGCCAAGAATGAAAAGGCGGACAATGAGCGACTTACCTCGATTGTGGAGCACCCAAACTCGCGGCAAAAGTCAAAGCGCTTCTCCCACGCGCTCCAGCGGCCTCCAACCAAGTAAAGCTGACTGTCGCCAAACGTGCGACCACCGCACCCAGGCCAAGACTCATGTGCGCGCGCCGAACACGCACCTGCTTTTAATGGGCTCCACAAGTCCAAGCCAATCATCTTTCAGTGTGGTGCACACCGACATGCCACATCTGTAAACGTTTTTATGATCCAGATAGCAGTATAAAAAGCGGGATAATGTATAGAACGCAGGTCCTTATCGGAAAATAATTACAAACAGGGCGAACTTCGCGTCGGGGTCCGTTTCTACCCTGGAGGTACTTATTATCCCTTACATTAACACACACACACACACACACTCCATTCGAGCAAAGAGGCACACATACAAACAGACACACACAGACATACACTCTCCATTAGAGCAAAGAGGCATTGTTTTTCCTGGTTTGGTTGGAACACATCCAATGGATTAGTCTAAGACTCACATTATGTCCAGAATCGTCAGGATGATGTTGTGAGGCCAGACCCCTTCTCTTGACTCCACCTCCTGACCTCCCCTCTTGACTCATCCCAGTCCTCACGCTTCCTCCTGACTCCTCCGTCTTCTCCGTCTCTGTCCTCCTCCTCCGCCTGAATCCTCCTCCTCCTCCTGTGACTTCTCCTTTTCCTGACTCATCCTCCTCCTGACTGTCCCTTCATCATTCTCTACCTCCTAATCCTCTTCTCCCTCTTCCGTCCACATAACTCATTTCTCCTTCTACAGGTCAGTTAGAGGAGGAGCAGCCTGGCTTCAGACCTATCCAAAGCTCCTCTGAAGAGCTGGGTCCAGTCCCCATTCGAGGCTGGAGGTGTCAGTACTCGGGGGAGTCCGACCCAAATGGGTACGAGCTGGACCTGGGGAACATCTCTCCTCCGTCTGACATTGAGGAGCTGAGTCTGGGATCTGTGGGAGCAGTGGGGCTGGAGGCTAACGGTAATAACAATTTTAGGGTTGGGCTTGGGATCAGGGGTACTTTTTTCATAACACCTCGACCGTGGTTCCATCCGCGCCAAAGCGATACCATGAGATTACGTCAGCCGACTGCCTTACACTGATTGGTCAAGAAGTGTTGTCACTGGAAGCGACGTCCGACCCTATGGTAAAAACAACCCTACCCTGCCATCTTTAAAACCGGCTGCTCTGCTTCAATACATCCTCCCATGGATCTATTTTACTAACGTACTCTTCACTCCAGAGAAATGGAATCGCACAGAAAGCCCCAAAAGTTATGTGCTTGTACTTAAGTTGTTGTGTATAGTTATTTGTCTGAGAATCCCTTCCCACAAGTGAGGAGATTATAAACGAGCAATGAGTGAACGTAGTACTTAACTTTCCCCTCATCTGAACCTGGTCTCAAGAGACATACGTACTTTGGACTTTGTAAATTGTTGGTTTTGCACTTTACTTTAAATCTGTGATTGTATCAAGACTTTGTTTCTTTCATTTGTTTGTACACATAAAATGGGTTCAAAAGTTACAATTTCCAACCAAATACTTTTACTTCTATTTACATTACATACATTATATTTTTCAGTAAATCCGTATAACCATGGTAAATTTATGAACAAAGATGGAGACATATTTGCTAAATACAAAAAGATTTTATTTTTGGTCAAAACACAAGGGCAAAATAAATGTTAAGGCATATGATTTGTATCATATATTCCTTTTTTACTTCTCACTCCTTTTTTCGAGTTGATTCTTAGATTTACAATATATGTATTGAACTCGAAATAAAAACATTTCATTTCAAATGAAAAAAAGTGACGCATCAGACCAATTTTACTACCCATCGCGCGTAAATTACGGGGTTTGACAACCCCTCCCACACTGAGGAGAAACATGGAGGAGAAACGTACCGTGACTATGGAAAAGTGGCATACTACAACTGCTACTATGAAAATTACAGCTACTACTTCTTTTTTAAAATCTTAGTCCAGAGTTATCGAGTGAGGAAAATGCTTTGAATCACGTTTAACTTAAAAAGTGGCCTCACCTCCTAAAAAACTTACTGAACCTCTTAGATTGGACGTGGGGATGTGCCTAAAATTCTTTAAGAATTGTGATCCATCTATCCTTTGTCAGATTTAATTAATGACAGTATTTCCGGCTTTTGTCTCTTCTTTGATTTGTATTAGCCATTGTTTCCTCTGTCCGCCTTCTTAATTTTTTCCTTTTGGTTTCCTGTGAAGAATGACATTGACCATATCAATAATTATTGCCAGGATTTTAGAGCATTTGTATTTGAGTCTCAGCTCTTCAAATGTAACGTGAGAGCTTGTGTGAGTACCAGTTTCCTTTCAGTAGTGGGTTTTGAAATGCCTCCAGCCTCAGCTCACTGTCCTTCTTGATGACCCATGTCTCTGATCCGTAAAGTGTACGCTTAACATTAGGGTTTCATATTTTTCCCGAAAATTAGATGCATCAAATCCCGGGAAAAGACAACACATTTCCCGGGATTGCTGTTTTTTTGTAGTTGTTGTACATATATGTCTGTGCAATCCACTTGTTGCCCCCCCAGAACACCAGGCAATCCGGTCACACAACATGCTCCCATACAAAGCTGGCTGTAGACATTAGGCGGTAGATACTGCTGCGTAGGCTACTGAATGCAACGTTACTGTAAGACAACAATAAAGCTCCAATAGGAGCGAACTGGAAATTTTTTCAACTTTCATTTCCTGTTTCCCGTCATAACATTTCTCGAGAATCGGGAAATAGTTATGATCAGATTTCCCGGGAATCCCGTTTCCCGGGATTAAACCCTACTTAACGCCAAGGACTTTAATTTATATTCTGGAGAGCTCTAGATCATTCAGCTGCTTATAATCAGTCCCAAATATTGTAATTCTTCCACAAAAGCGTAGCTTTTAATTTTTCTAAATCTCTGTGTTCCATAGTAGAGGAGCACTATGTGTTTTCTTCCTGCTCTCTCTTTGGCTACTACTTCTGTTACCAGGGGTGCACAACTTTTTCAGTGAGGTACTCCGATGAATACCAGGAGATGGTGTTTATCGGTACTCACTCCATTTGTCGCGTGGTTCTTAATGGAGATTTTATACTTCCTTCTTTTTATTGCTAAAGTTTAGATCAGCTCAGATAATCCACTGAGTCCAAGCCAAATAATGACCCACAGGACTCTTAAAAATGCTATACAAAACAAAAAATCAAAACAATGTTCTGTTTGATTTGTTCACAACATTTTACTTTTGGGCACAACCAACATTATTATGCATTATTAATGCAAGGGAAAATGTAGGTACCATAGCTTTAATTTAGAGACACAGGGAGGACATGGACACTCCCTTAAAGTGATTGTCTGGAGTTTGTCAGAAAGAGAGACAGAGAGGTACTTGATTTGAAAAAAACAACGCAAGTTCCCTCCCCCTTCCTTTCTGATTGGTCAACACCTACGTTTCCGTAACACTTTTAAATGTTAATCAGAGAACACATTTTACATATACATTATTAATACACATGCACGGAGGTTTTCAGAATTATTTGTTAACGTTTTAATGAAAAAAATAATGTTTTTATGCAAAAAAAAAAGCGATCGCAGCAAACTGTTCAGAATTCTTTGATCAGTTTTCATGTAGTTCCAGAGCCTAATAGAGGCTTGATTCGGAGGCTGCGCGAAAACAAACAACCGAGCATGCGCGCAGCTGCGAGCATCAGCGCAGATGATTGACAGCCCTTGGCATGACTCGATTGGTTAACCTCGACGGCACCGTGGACTCTGAGCTATGGCTAAGAGAAGGGAAGGCGGGACTTGCCCGTAACAACAACAATTTTATAACAACATTTAAGGCCAGGAGGTCAATTTAACACATTTCCTAAAAATTTTAATTAATTTAGAGTTACACACTATCACTTTAAGACTCCAGAGTCCAGAGTCCAGCAGTGAAGGCTAGCTCTAGCTACTAGCTTTGTGCAGAACCAACAGGTTGACTCACCAATTCCTCTGTATGATCATACACACAGTGTGACAACCCCGTCAAATGAAATGTAGGAGGCGCCTGTAGCGAAAGCCTATCAGTTACCCACTGTCTATTGTGAAACAAAGTTAGATCGTGGAAAAAATACCTGCAACTTGGTTCTGACTTTCCCCACGGCAACACACCCACCGGTGGATAGAGCGCTTTTATTTCAGGAAGTGTTGCCACAGGGACCGTGGGAACTCTCGTTCGAACTCTTGCAGGAGTAAGGCAAGGCAAGGCAAGTTTATTTATATAGCACAATTCATACAAAAGGCAATTCAAAGTGTTGAACAAAATAAGAAAGCATTAAAATCATAAATAATCACAGAAAATTAAAAAGAAAGATAAATATATAAAATCCCTCAGTTGTATGCACAGCTAAACAGAACTGTCTTTAACCTGGTTTTAAACATTGTCAGCGAGGAGGCCTGTCAGGGCAACTTCCGCGAGATTTGCAGACGGCATAAAAATAATGGAGAGGAGCGGAGACGATAAAACTTGAAGTTACAACAAGTACGCAAAGGCGCTTACTAACTCAAGTGATAGTACGCATATCTTATATTTGTCGCGCATGCGTACCTGCGTACCACTTATGTGCACCCCATTACTGCTACTGCAACTGCTACTGCTACTACTACTACTGCTAGTAATTGTAGGAGTAGTAGTAGTATACTACTTTATACTACTGTATACTACTACTACTACACACAATACACAATACAATTTATTCTTGTATTGCCCTAAATCACAACAGCAGTCATCTCAGAGGACCAAACAAAACCCCTGAAATCACCAAAATAGATCAGAGAATCAACATTTAAGATACAAAAAATAGAGAATACATATGTATTGGTTCATAGGGAGAGACCATGTCCATGAATGTTGATAAATGTCCATACATGTTGTAGAATGTTAAAGTGTCCTGGATCATCATCACAGTCCTTCTTGTTAGACACTAACTGTTCAACAGACCCTACTGCATCGGCAGGAAAAAACTCAAAAACCCATTGGGAAAAAAGTGAGAATCCTCAGGGAGATCCACATTGAAAGACGGTTCCGTTCCCATGGACGGACGGGCTGTAGATCCAGGACCTAAGCTACAGAACAAGGACCAAGGCCACGCAGCGGCCATAGAACGTGGACAGGTTCGGTTTTGGACCTGTCCACGTACAGGTAAATAGCAATGAACAGACTACAGTCAAAATCTCAATAATGCAGACAGACAAAGTAGGAATGAGGAGAAGATAGTGCTCAAGTTACCATACTTCTCCCAGCAAACTGACTTCCTATGCAGCTTGACTGACAATCTAAGATGTTTAGCCTCCCCTGACTCTTAGGGCATGGTCACATAGGTTTTTACAAACGAACTAGGCCAAGTGGCCCAGATCGTCGCCACAGGGGGGTGAAAACGGCCCGCGGTCACATGAACGTATTGTCTGAACCGGAAATTGTGCTGCAGTACAACACTCGGTCCAGCTGGTGGCGCTAATACTAACACCAGAGACTACCTCGTTGCTCTGGTTGAGATCTGCTTCTTTTCCTGTTTACATTCCGCTACTGTAGCTAACAGCTAACAGCTACAGCTACTGTAGCTAACAGCTCAGTACGGATCGCGTTGTTTAGGGAAAGATCAGTGACGTGCGGTCAGATGAGGCAGGTGAGGCCTGGCCTCACCTAAGATAATGGAAAGAAAAAAGAATAAAATGGAACCAATAATACTTTCTCACTATGTCAAGTGATTTGTGGGATTGTATTTTTTCAATGTAACTTTGCCTTATTTCATTCATTTTTACCTTGAAATTACAGATTTTCATAATATGTTCTCGTATTTGACAGAGCGGCACGCTGTGAGGCGAGCCTCACTGGGGAGACGTAAAAGCCACAGCTCATTGTGGAAGGAGCCCGTGCGCTGCTATCGCAATGTTTTGACAACAAATATAGGTCATAATCGCGCTCAAACCACGGCTTGTAATGTCACCAACTGAGGCCAGCCTCAAGGTAGGGGGCGCATGTGAGCCCAGAATTTGGCTGCATCCAATTTCATCTGAAAGCTTCTTTCTTGTTCTTCCTCTGATAAGGGCAGCTGCAGGTTTGGCTAACATACATATAACACATTTTAAGATGATTTAAAATCCACTTAGGGTATGTTTATGCTTCCAATGACGATAGGAATGATAAGAAAGAGAGGCGAAGGGTAAGGTTGATTTCAGAAATTGTATGCAGCCGAGAGTCCGCTACCGGCAGCTAGCGAAAACACGAGAGGAGTTTATGGAGGAGATACTCGTTTTGTTTTACTTTTTAAAACTCATTGGGCTTAGTTCCAAATGGAGGATTACATATTATGCTCAAACTAATATCTGGGCTTAAACATGAAACTGGTCTGAACTGAACTGGTCTGTGCAGGTCATTTATAAGATAAGACCATAAGACACTTTTAAATGTGCTTTTACCAACTTTTGCGTTTTGTATGATCAAATTCGGACATGGAACATATTTTGCTGTAGCCAAACAAATTGTGAATAAGCCGCTCTGTAGGTCCTGTTGATTTATATGATATATATGTCACTTTACTTATATACTTTTTATCCTGCACTATTTAACTGTACAGTATATAACTGCACTACCACATATATATTTCTTGACTGGTATTGCAGCTTTTTCAGCATTTACAGCTAGTTATGTTAGTTAAGAAACATAGCTACTACTTATTTGTATATAGTGTATATATTGTGTGTGATCCCTGTGTGCTCTTACTACTGTCCTATATGTGCGATCATCTGATTGGGCTGAAGTCAGTGCCTCACCGTCACGGGCAAGATACATCTCACACTTGTCCAAATTGCTCTGATGCAAAGTGCAGCAGTTCAGTGGGTAACGTGTGAATGCACACGTGTGTGTGTGCGTGCGTGCGCAACGCGGACACACACACACACTCTTTAGCAACGAGTGTAAGAGCGCTGAGAAATGAATGAATGAGAATGAAGGAATGAAAAGTGTGGAGTAGAACAGAGCGACCGCAGACAGGGAGGGTGTGTGTGTGTGTTTGTGTGTGTTCTGGTGATTAAATAAAGACTGATTCTTGAATGTCTGAAGGGTTATTGCAATAGCACCAAACTGAGAGCAAGGGTCAGGACAGAAGAGAGCTATACCCGTAGGAAACGGAGCACGGTCCGGGGCTTATATGAAAGGTTTAACACAAGCGGAGAATACAAAAGTGCAGGGAGAGACGTGTGTGAAAATGCGTGTCACAGGAAGACCTAATGTGACGCACAATATCAAATCCCCAACACACCTAATCCAACACTCCCCACCACCCGCCACACTGACCCCCCTCATTGCCGCTGGGAAGCGGGCCCTGGCCACAGTTTTTAACGATTCCAGGAATCGTGCTCTGGCGCGAATGCCGCGGTCAGATGGCACCTAAAGCCCGGATCAAACTGCGAAGTGGGCCCTGGCACGCTTTAGGCTGCGCATGTGACCGCAGCCTTACCTTCCTTACCATATGCCAAATTGAAGAAGAGTGTTTTAAGCCTGGCCTTGAATGTGAAGACTGTGTCTGCTTCCTTAACGTGGATGGGAATCTGATTCCACAGTAAAGGAGCTTGGTAGCTAAATGCTCTGCTGCCGACAGCGCTTTTTGAGACCTAAGGAACCACCAGACGTCTAACGTTTTTCTAGCGCAGTGCTTGGCTTGGTTGATATGACTCTAACGTGTCTTGAAGATAAGAAGGAGCCGAGCCATTTATGGCTTTGTATGTTAAAAGAAGAATTATAAACTTTATTCTGTACTCCACGGGAAGCCAGTGCTGCTACTGCTGGTGCTACTGCTACTACTACTACTGCTACTGCTACTGCCGCTGTTGCTACTAATACTGTTACTATTATCAGCAACATTTGTGTCACCTTGTAGGACGTTTTTCCAACAGCAGATTAAAAAATCAAGCATTTAACATCATAAAGACAGTTTAAATAAAGTGCACTTGGTGACGCTCTAACCATCTTCGGCTGTTACTGTAGAATGTTTACTGGTAATGTTTATTTGTAATCAGTGTCATTCTGAAGCACAGCCCACAACTATTTGACCAAAATGGTCCCGAAGGGTCCAAAGGTGAAAAAGAGAGGACCACTCTCAAGCAGCTCTCAGACTCACAAGGTTCTTTCTTACACAAAAAGACATAGACAGCCTATTGTGCTGTGTTTTTCTTTTACATTGAATTTGTCAAGAATCTAATCATGTTTGAATGTAATATGTAATATTTCTTTTGCAGAAAGCCTCACCTCTGCCTCTCCAATCACAGCGCAGCCCCAGCAGTGGATCTCAGAACAAGCTCTGGACCCCCACAGTCCAGTGACCCCGGCCAAAGACTCCCAGGACTTCTTCCAGCAGTCGGAGCTGAAAGAGCTGAGCTTGGACGTGACCTGTGAGCCGTCCAGCCTCCAGTCCTCCTCCTACGACCCTTACGGTTTCAAGCTCTCCCCGGAACACTCCAGCCACACCCTCCTGGATCCCAGCAGCCCCAGCACCTCGGAACCAGACCTGGTCTATGACCCGGAGCCGGTGAGCCCGCCCTCGTCCAGCTTTGACGCCTTCGCTTCCCATGCCTGCGACCCCTACGGGTTCAAACTCAGCCCAGAGGAGGTCAATCAGGAAGTGCTGGACTTCAGCCCGGCACACAAGCTGCACTTCGAGGACAAGCTGTTGGTGGAAGGCGAGTTGGAAGAAACTAATGGTGGGAATAACTTTGGGAAGGTGATCGATTTTACAATTAACGAGGATAGCTATGGAAACAACCTTGAGCTGAAGAACGAGGAAGGCGAGCTTCATCCCGCAAACACTGACAACACTTTCCACTTCCACGATGACTTAGAGTCTCATTTCAGAAATCGACAAGTGGAAGATCTGTCAGAGTTCGGAGACGAGGTGTTGGACTACGAAAATCAGGAGGTTCTTGAGCCGATGAAATTGAACAAAGTTGTAACGTTAGAGGAAGCCAACCAGGAGCTGTTGGACTTCACACCTGAAAACCGCGAAGTCTTAGACATTTTGGACAGCAGCAAGGTCCTGGTGGAGTACGAGAACCGGGAAGTTGTGGAACCGGCCCAGCCAACGCCACGCTTCCATGATTCGCCAATGACGCCCAATCAGGAGGTCCCGGATCTGGACAACGCAGAGCTCATGGACTTAAGTTGCTTCCAGAATCAAGAAGTTTTGAGCCACGACAACCAGATCTTTCATAATCGGGAAGTTCCTGATAAGGATCTGGACGGAAACCAAGAGATTATATGCAAAGAAGCCAACAACAATAGGTCCAGTAACAGCTCGGATAGTGACTGGGAGCTGATGGGAGGCCAGGGACAAGCTGGAGGAGCTATGATCGGGCCTGGTCTGCTGATGGAAGGGGATCTGGGGGAGGTGTTCAGACAGGGCGGGTACGTGGGCTGTCCCGATGTGGCTGACGATCTGGAACCTCTGCGAAGAAGAGCTGCTTCTGTCAGAGAACCAGAGAGACCAGTTCGTCCCCCACGGCCATCGCTCAGGGTGAGTTTCCCAAAGCCGAGGACAAACAACGGGGAACAAGGGTTGAATGTGTGGGAAGTAGGACACTGAAAAGGAGACTCTTTACTTTGCCTAACACTGGGGTATGTAACTTTCAAAACACAATATAACTCTTCATTAATCCCATTTCTTTAGTTCTTGGCTCTAAAACAGTTACTTCTATCAGTTTTCATAAGTGTTTTAGCCTCTGTCACATTATTAAATCAGATTTTTCAGACAGAAAAGGGGAATACAGTATACTCAGCCAATCAGCTCTCAGCCCAAAGAGTACTCCGGCTTTAAGTAGACGGGTAATGTTGGTAAACAAACACTTCTCAATCTAAGTCCAAAGACTGAACTGTTTTGCTTTTTCACTATTAGATCTTGTTGAGCTAGACTGGAGAAAGGACAAATGTGGGAAGTGGGAGGTCATGGAACATCTGGTTCATGCAGCGGCTGAAGCGGGAGACACCACATTCTAGGCTTTATGTGCAGTGTCTTTGCTAGACTAGTGACCTGATGACACCTCCTGATGGTGTCTCTGTCTGCTGCAGACATAAGCACTGAGTGACAGAGGTGATGCTCTGTTGTGATGGCCAAAGTACTGTATTGTTATCGTCTGCAATGTGGTCATCAGCGTCCTTTTTGTCTCCAACTCTTGTAGCAATGAGGTGTTCTGTCCAGCTGACCCAGGTCCAGCTCATCTCAAAGGCTTGTATCCTCTGAGTGTCCTTAGTGCAGTGTCCGAGCCTAACAGGCGTACTTTACACACACCAAAGCCTTCAAGACCCTCAGCTTGGTGACATTAGGGCTGTCTGATCATTCTATAAACTGTAATAAACCCTTTCTTTTTCAGGCCAAAGAGAAGGCTCCAGGGATCGACCTGAAGTGACGTCCACCAGGAGTGTAAACTGTGACCCAGGCATGATTCCCAACCTGTGTGGACGTTCTAATGCAATAAATGATTGTGAATGATGTTGAGAATGAATGAAACTCTTTAATGTAGAATAATGTAATCCATAAACTATATGTGTGAAATTCCCAAAAAGAGGCAAAAGTGAACATTCCTTAAGATGATTCCAGACTTTAATGAGCACATAGTAAACAAGATATAAAGACAATGAAACTGCCAGAAGGACTAAACCAGGACTAAAACAAGAGAAGACCAGGAATAAAGCACGAATAAAGCAGGGCAGGACCAGGACTAAAGTAAGAATAAAGCAGGAAATAACCAGGACTAAAGCAGGAGAGGATCAGGACTTAAGTAGAACTATACCAGGACTAAAGCAGGCCTGGTCTGTACATACATTATTATTACGTACTCTATATCTGTAAATGTGTATTAGCGTTCTGGTACTCATTCATGGAGAGAATGGAGGGTTGGATCAGGACTAAACCAGGTCTAACTTGATCCATCATGCCCGTTTCCTGCCCCGGAGACTGATGAAACATATGAATATCTCTTTGGTTTACAATCTTCAGAAGAGCCTCACGTCCTGTGATTCAACCTGAAGCAGACAATTCTGTGTCTGTTTCTTATTTCACCGGTTTCTGCCTCAGCTTCATGCGTTTGCTGCTATCGACACAAGAAACACTTATTTTTATAATTTTCTGAGTTCAAACATGACCATCAGTTCCTGCATGATTCACTGAGATGGTGAACATTTGAAGTTTACAGAAAATCCTTCTGAACTCTGTCAATTAAAGATGTTTCCCCTCTCTGGTGTTGTGTTTGTCTATAATAAACCAATGTCTTAGTTGTGAATCTAAAACCAGAGACTACAAAGAGAGAGCGAGCGAGACTTAGAAGAGAGACCAGAGAAGGCCCAGGATGAGACCAGAGAGACCAAAGAGAAGCCATAGAAAAAAACCAGAGAGTACAGATTTGTTTTGGGCTATATAAGTGTGATTTTTTTCTTGGTTTTTTCTACCTGTAAATGTTACTGCAGTACAGTGTTCATGGTTATACACTGATACAGACCAGAGCTGAGAGGATTCATGGTCCGAACCAAGCAGACCAAGCATAAATCCACTAATGCTTTTGAAAACCTCTCACTTTCTGAAAAATGCTAATAAAGCATACAGCTTCTCACTCTGGACTAGAGCAGAGAAAATGGTTCGAACCAAGCGACTCTTCAGGCTACACCACTAGTCCACCACTGCTGCTGTGACCTGTTCTGCTCCACCCAGCAGATAATGTATATCACCTTTGCTGCTGTGATATATTGTTGCTGTTATAATATAATATATATATATTTAAAAAAAATGTCCACTCACCTTTGGCCCTCCGCGGGCGGTTATCCCTCTCTAAGCTCGGGTCCTCTACCAGAGGCCTGGGAGCTTGAGGGTTCTGCGCAGTATCTTTGCTGTTCCTAGCACTGCACATTTCTGGACCGAGATGTCCGAGGTTGTTCCAGGGATCCGCTGTAACCACTCTTCTAGCTTCGGGGTCACTGCCCCGAGTGCACCGATCACCACGGGCACTACTGTCACCTTTACCCTCCAGGCCCTCTCCAGCTCCTCTCTGAGACCTTGGTATTTCTCATGATTTTCATGTTCCTTTTTCCGGATGTTACCATCGCTTGAAATTGCCACGTCCACCACCGCTGTCCTCTGTCCTCCACGATGTCAGGTTGGTTCGCCATTACCATTCGGTCGGTCTGTATCTGGAAGTCCCACAGGATCTTTGCACGCTCATTCTCCACCACCTTTAGAGGAGTTTCCCACTTAGACCTTGGGGTTTATAGATATATATATATATATGTAAACCCAATATGTATATCCTTAAAGCCACAAACACAGTCAAATTTAGTGTAAATGTATCAGTTTAGTTTGAATAAAGAATAAATGTAAAAACAGTATTCTAATAAAAATAAACATTCAAATATTCCTCTTTTGTTTCCTTAAAATTATTTTACCTTTTCCTAAACCTGAGTCCTTAGTTCTTTGTCTTTTGTTGCAGGTCGGATGTTGCTCGGGTTCGTTGAGGCCTTTAAAACTTAAAAGTGGCTGCTTCACTTGCCAAGCAAGGTAAACTGGTCAATGTACTCACAAGACCTTGGTTTCAATCGGTGGGGTCCAACAAGAGTGGCCTTGATCCGCTGTGCATTAGAAAGTCTTTCTTTAGTTTCTCATAAATAAACTCTGTACTCTACATACAGAAATTACAAGTCTAGTTTCACCGATAGCATGCTAACTCACTAGCTCACGATTAGCATTATACATTTTCTAGTACAAAACAGTTCGTTTTACACCCAAATAAAATTACAATCCATACTCACAACACATCCGATAACAACAGTTCCGCACAAGACCTGTAGACTCTGCATCCACGGCTAGTTTTGTGACCATTTTATCAGAATGTCCCAGAAGTTCTGTTTCCTTTGGCAACTCCCAGCCGAGTGCCGATAGTCTGAGATGTTGCGAACATAGTACACGCTCATTCCTCACTGATTGGCTTGTATGAGTGCATTATCCAATACAAGTTCAGAAAATAGACAATTAACATACCAATAAAAATATGTAGTATAGACCAGTTTGTTAAATGTATCAAGCTACATTTAACAAACTTTTTTTTTTTACTCAAAATGAACTTCATGAATACAGTTGACAAAACCTTTTATAACATATTTATAAAACATGTATTACTTCAGTGTCATTTTAACACTTTTGTAGAGTAGGCTACTTTTGTGAAAGCTGTAGGTTCCCTGTCAGTGAGATCTCTGGTCTCTCTCTCTCTGGTCCCTCTCTAGTCTCTGTCTAGGCTCTCTCTGGTCCCTCAGGTGTCTGGTCTCCCTCAGGGCTGTAGGTTCCCTGTCTGCTGAGGACAACATTGAGGTCTATGGGGAAATCTCCTTCCAGCCCATATGAATTTAGGCTGCAGTACTGTGGGTGGCCTCTAGCTCATGTGGAGATGGGTTTAAACGACCTCCAAATAATCTGACACATTCACAGTCTCCTCTCACACTACAGTGCACTGCGCCCTCTGCTGGTTCTCCTGAGGCTTTGGGTTCTTGTGTTTCCGGCAGAAGCGGCAGTAGATCACCAGCACTGTGATGGTGATGATGAGGAGGACCAGGGGGATGAAGATGGCCTGGAACACGGTCCTCATGTCCAGCTCTAAGAAGAGGAAGGACAAGTGAGAACAAAGGACAAACACTGGTTTAGGGCTGAATAACGCCTTTACCAGAAAGAGAGACCAGAGAGAGACCAGCAGGGGACAAGAGAGAGATCAGAGAAAGACCAGAGAGGGACCAGCGATAAACCAGAGAGGGACCAGAAAGAGACCCGGAGAGAGACCAGTAAGAGGAGAGACCAGAGAGAGAGAGAGAGACTAGAGAAAGAGACCAGAGAGAAATCAGAGAGAGAGTCCTCTGGACAAATCACCGCGGTGCACACAAGTTAGTCAGATCAGACGTCAGGGTCATAGGTCAGGGGTCAGTAAACTACTGCTGCGACAACGCCCTCTGGGGTTTGTGGGAAATGGGAATTTTTATTTTAAGCTTTCTTTGGGGAAAAGACGTCATGGAAAAGTCATGAAGATTTTTTTTTTGCATGATCTACAGGTTGTGAAAGGAAACTGCGGCGGCTTCGTAAATAAGTGAAGTAGATCTAAGCGGTGTAGGGACTGGTTAGTACTGTGATGGGAGACTGCTGTAAAAGCTAATCCTTGAACTGGGAGATGACAGTGTCGCAAAGGACACATGTAAATAAGTAGTAAGGAGAGGGAGGAGGCTGACGGTAAGGGCAAGCCTCCAGCCATGGCCCTCACCCCCCACTCCCCACGCTCCAGGGAGCCTCATACTTCTGAAATCTGAGACTTGCTCTTTCTGCTCTGTGGGCAGAGGTTGTTGTTTGTGAATTTCTTGTGTTTGTTTAGAATTATTTTAATGTGTTACAGATGTGAAACAAGAGCAGTGTCCTGTGTATGTGTGTGTGTGTGTGCGTGCATGCAAGCGTGCGTGCGTGTGTTCCATAGGTTTGTGACTTCCCCCTCGGTCAGGGTGGTGGGTAGCTGCTCCAGGTCTGTAACCCAAACTCTAACAGTCTAACTAAATGTAAAAAGTTCATCATGTTTTCTTATGTTTGATGTTCAGAAGGTTCTTCTAATTAGAGATTCTTCTAATAAAATATTTACCCTTCATTAGAGCCAGTGATGCAGCCTGCGGAAATTCAGTCTAGTAGGCTGCAGCCTATCCAAGCCGGCCCCTTTCACACTCAGCCAATCACACAGCGTGTGACAACCTTCTGTACACCATTGAAGCCAGCTGTTTAAAAGTGGAAACTTCCCAACAACCAACCCTTTTTCAAGCCTCACAAGGAGTTAGTTCTGCCATCACTTTTGTCTACTCACGCCTTGGAACCTGCCCGCTCTCATCACAACTTCAACCTATGCCACCACCAGTACCTAGGCCTTATGCGCGTAGTACAATGTGTCCCGTAGTTGAGGCAAGGCGCTGCTTCTTTGTTTGCCGTTTATGTTCAGTATAGACGTACGTCCCTTATTTTGTGACGGATTGTGATTTTGTGGTGGATTGCGGGATATCAAGGAGGGGCACACTGGGGCAATTTCAGTCCAGCAGGCTGGAGCCAATCATGGAGCAGCACAACAGAGGAAATCAGGTGTCAGGCTAGAAAAGGTGCAAGTGTGTGGTTCATTAGGCTGCAAGAAATCATGGAGGAGCACACTGAAGCGCACGCTTACAAACCACTGGTAAGTGCTGACTACAAGTTATGACTTCAAATTGTTATATAGAATTATTACAAATTATTTGTTGTTTGTGCAGCTTAGTCAAGAGTCCCTAATTGATGAAGTCGACTCAGATTCTGACGATTTAACTGTCAAGAAGAAACCTGTAAAAAAGTATGGAAAAAGAAAAATCAATTAAAGCCGCAAGCGGCGTCGAACGGCCCTCGCCGCACCGCGCGACTCCCCGCACCGCGCGCACCACCCCGTTCCACGCCGCCCCGCACCAAGCCACCCCGCACCACGCCGCCCTGCACCACGCTGTCCCGCCTCACGCCGCCCCGCACCAAGCCGCAATGCGCTGCTCCACAACGCCCCGCACTACGCTGCACCACACCGTACCACGCAGCACCGCTCAAAGGAGGTGGCGCCGTTGTGTGATGATTTGTTCCCGTAGCCATAGAAGATTGTTAGTCAAATTGTAATGAATATGATAAGTAGAGCTGGTTTGGCTCCCCATGTAAACTTTGACTCAGTCTTTAATGGGCGCTAATTGGCCAATTTCAAATATTTCACTTTCACCTGACCTAAACCCTGGAGTTGAACAATGGATTCAAGTTTAATGCAAATCAGTCTTTGTTTGTGCAAACGGGGAAAAAATGTATGTTGTCAAAAACGGCCAAAAAAACCCTCACATTTTGCCGCTCCGCTGCTCAAACAACGTTTCACTGATCAAAAATCCCTGAAGTCATTTTGAAGGTAAATGTGTTGAGATGATTTGTAACAATTTTGAGGCCTATCAGTGAAACGGCCGAGGAGGAGTCGCTTTCCAACCGACATGTATGAAAATGATTGATTTTCATTTTTCCATTTTGCAATGAAATTTATGGGCTTCCTGTTTGTCGGAGGGATTAGCCATAATTACATTTTTTCCATGTCTTGACTTGAGGAACATGTGTACCAAATTACATGGTTCTACGAAAATTTTGACCTCAAACCCCTCCCATAGGCATTTTTAAATTGGCTGTTGTAGGTGGCGCTATAGAGCCAATTTCAAAATTTTTACTTTCAAATGACCTAGACCCAAGAGTTGAACCATGGATTCAAATTTTGTGCAAATCAGACTTTGTTTGTGCAAACGGAAGCAAATTTTCTATTGTCAAAAACGGAAAAAAATTACGCCACTTTTTGGCGCTCCGCTGCTCAAACAACGTTTCACTGATTAAAATTCCCTGAAGTCATTTTGATGGTACATGTGTTGAGATGATGTGGAGCGATTTTGAGGCGAATCGGTGAAACGGCCGAGGCTGGTTTGATGTTTGTGTGAGGTGTACATTTGCAATGAATGGGGAGCGTTTGTCGTCGCCACGGCAACAGGGTAAAAATAAGCCTTGGACCCTATTGACTTTTTGAATCAAGAGGGCAAAACAGATGTATGTGCAAAATTTCAAACATTTTGAAAAAACTAAATTTGAAAATGCCCATCTAAAATTTTGAAATAGCCTGTAGGGGGCGCTAATGAGTCAATTGGAATCATTTAACCTTCAAATGACCTAGACCCTAGAGCTGAACAATGTATTAAAGTTTTGTGCTAATCGGACTTTGTATGTGCAAATGGGAGCAAATTTAATGTTGTCAAAAACGGCCAAAAAAAGGTCACATTTTGCCGCTCCGCTGCTCAAACAATGTTTCACTGATCAAAAATCCCTGCGGTCATTTGGAAGGTACATGTGTTGAGATGATGTGGAGCGATTTTGAGGCGAATCGGTGAAACGGCCGAGGAGGAGTCGCTTTCCAACCGACATGTATGAAAACTTTTGCTGTTCATTTTTCCATTTTGCAGTGAAATTTATGGGCTTCCTGTTTGTCAGAGGGCGGAGCCATGATAATATTTTTTTCTTGTCTTGACTTGAGGAACATGTGTACCAAATCTCATGTTTCTACGACAAACTTGACCTCCGAAAAGTCCCATAGGGGTATTATTTTTGCTGTTGTAGGTGGCGCTGTTCTGTCATTTTTTGAGTCCCATAAAAATAAACACCGAAATATCAAATTTTTCGCCAGGTCTGATTTTTGGGCCAAAATGAACAACTTTTCATGCATGTTCAGGGGGTCAAATTAAGGCTCAAAGTGCAGCAGAAAAAAGAAAGAAATAAATAATTAAAGCCGCAAGCGGCGTCGAACGGCCCTCGCCGCACTGCGCGACTTCCCGCACCGCGCGCACCACCCGCACCCCCCGCAACGCGTGCAGTTTTCAGAGTTTTTCATACTAAAAACTCTGAAATAGTCTGTACATGTCGGTTGGAAAGCGACTCCTCCTCGGACGTTTCACCGATTCGCCTCAAAATCGCTCCAGATCATCTCAACACATGTACCTTGAAAATGACTTCGGCGATTTTTCATCAGTGAAACGTTGTTCGAACAGGGGAGCTGCAAATTGTGACCTTTTTTTGACCGTTTTTTGGGCCTCCTGTTTGTCAGAGGGCGGAGCCATGATAACATTTCGGTCGTATCTTGACTTGAGGAACATGTGTACCGAATTTCATGGCTCTACGACAAACTTGACCTCTGAAACTCCCATTGGCTGTTGTAGGTGGCGCTGTTCTGGCATTTTTTGAGTCCCATAAAAATAAACACCAAAATATCAAATTTTTCACCAGGTCTGATGTTTGGTCAAAATTTTACAACTTTTCATGCATGTTCAGGGGGTGAAATTAAGGCTCAAAGTGCAGAATTTGACATCTCTCGAGCAAAAACAAAAAGAAATTTTTTTTTTAACGTCTCGAGCGAAAACAATATAGGTTTCAATGGCATGTGATACATCATTTTAAAGCTTTTGAGTTTACGCACGCAACCGTCACATTTTGGTGAGTGACGGGCGCTGACGCGTCCGTCACGCACCGCCACCATTTGTTTTCACCATTGTGAAAGCAATAGGCCCTTACCCCGTTCGGGGCTCGGGCCTAAAAATACTTTTCTTCAAGACTTGGAAAGTGACGAACCAAAGGTAAATAAGATTGTTATCATGCAGCTGCAAAAGAAGAAAAATGGGGGGAGAGTTTACAGCAAGCCCCGGCGATCCAAGATGGCGCTTTGTGACGGCATGGGGGCTGAAAGATTAGCGGAAGTCGCCTGGAACTCGCAAAGATCTATGGGAAACTCGCAAAGATCTATGGGAAACTCTCCTGTATTTGGGCATCGTCTGGTCCTCCCGGTTCTGCGCAGTGGATGATCTCCCATAATGCGTTGCGCCAAACACGCGTGTGTGGGTCTCCCACCGGCTCTTACGCACGTGCACAGAGGGGCTCGGCCGCGCTCTGACCAATCAGAGCAGTTCATCAGAGCGGGAGTTAGAGCGAGAGACAGACAAGCAGAGTTTGTGGCACTAAAGTGTGGATTTAAACAAAACCGAAGGATTTAAGAAGAAAAAAAG